CTCTCTCTCTCTCTCTCTCTCTCTCTCTCTCTCTCTCTCTCTCTCTCTCTCTATTATCAATTACAGAGACAATCACATATTTAATAGTGGTGTGAAATAATTCTCTTTTTCAATCAAATGCAAGATAATGTAATATTTTAAGTTGTCAGATAATGTCCTCTTGTTCCCTCTTTCCCTTTATCTCCCAGCTCTCTTTCTCATTTTTTGGACGATAAGGTTAAATATGAGACTTTTTTAGTTGAAGACATCAAGCCTCGGCTTGCGGGCTTTTATTTTGTAAACAGGAAGTAGTATTTCACCTGACGCAGAGAGGAGGAGAGAAGCGAGAAGAAGGGAGAGTCCGTAGAAGGAGGAGGAGGCGCATTGTTTCTGATTTAAAATCCAGACTGGTTCGGCTTGTCACACGCCCTCTCGGCAGGGTGATGTTTCAGTCACTGAAAACATTTTTTTTTCCCACGTAAAAAAGGCGGACGACAGAAGCGGAAGAGCACCGAGTCGAGGCGTCTCGACTGAAAAAAGCTACGCAGGATGAGCGAGCGCGCGACGGAATCAACCATGTTTAAAACAACTGGATCCAAGTTGTTGCTGCCTGCCAGTCAGTCCTCGGGCTTGTCTATTGACCAGGTACGACTCACTGCCAGCCGTGAGCCTAAAAACACACAACTGAGGCGAAAGAGTTTCTTCCTATTTAAATGATTTTTTAAAATTAAAATTAGCCCTCCGCTTTGTAGAGACTGAGTTCAATATTTCACATTTCTACACACAACACAACATAATGCTAACAGCACACCAACATAGAGGTTGTATTTTATGTCTAAAATCTAAACAAACAAAAAAACACATTTAGCTTTAAAAATAAAGATATTTATTTTGCTACAGTCAGCTGACAGAATATGACTGAAATTACAAAAGAGCTAAAAGGCTTGTGCAGTGATACCCACAAGTGATGAAACAAAGCACTGTCATGTTAACTTCCAGTGAAAGAATATTTTTATGTCATATTTTCCTAAATTATTTGAAACTCTAGCAGCTCCCATTCTCATGCTTTTTTCCCCTCTCTCTCCCACTCAGGTGAATTTCCTGGCCTGCCAGTTTTTTGCTCTGGCTGCTGCCTTCTGGTTTCGCCTCTACCTCAGTCCCAGCCATGCCAGTCCTCTGGTCAGGCATGCCTTCGCCACGCTCCTCGGGACGGGCTTTCTCATCTTCTGCTTTGGATGGTACTTTATGATACGATTCATTCGCTTTTTGTTGTCACCGTTGTAATTTCTGCTCTCACCAGACTTAATGACTAACATTTGAAGATGGAAAATGCACAACCTTTAGTTATCTTTTGTAGCCGACTTCTGTCTGTCCTGATGACAAGCAGAAGAACCACTAATCTCAAGAGCGTCACAGACTCTAGGAATTATTCAGACGACAAAATAAGAAGTAAAAAAAATTGTATAGGTCTTCTGGACGGGTTCTTCTTTAATGAAACTTTTCGTCTCTCCTCCAAGAGACTTCTTCAGTCTGAGAGTTTCAGGTAAAATTCAGGCTTAAGCCTGAA